CGTTTTTTTTTTTTTTTTTTTTTTATCACTTTTTGTTGGACGGAGTGTTCCTGACGGGCCCACGCTCTTGAAAGCTGTGCACTGAGCTTGATGATTTTACTAACAAGAATGCTTACGCGAGGCTGCTTTGTTTGTGTTGACTTTGGAAATGCAGTTAGGGGCATAACAATGATGTGATACCATAGCATATTCCTTGTAGGACCCCATTCATGCAGTATCCCATTACTAAGGCTGGCTTCATACCGGAGGGTTGCATTTTATTGGCTGTAGTTCTCTTTTGGGTCCCAGGAGGCCATTTACTAATCTCCTGTGGCCCAAAACTTAACTCCGGGCTATAGCCTGCTGTAGGCTGACAGCACAGAGCGATGCTGCAGCCGGGAGAGATCCGGACTATATTGTTGGGATCCACCCCGCTACCTGATTGACAGCTGGCTCTACCTCTCTAGAGCCAAGCCAGTTGTACCCGCCCCCTCCAGTGACAGTCACCGCTCTCTGTAGGGAGAAGATTGTGAACTGAGTGATCAGCGGTTTGTGATCACTTGGTTCTCGGTCTGTAGAGCCAGCGAATGATGGCTGCAGTGTCACATGTCGGCTCTAACTATGGGGAGGAGTGCATTTCACTCTCCCCATGGTTCTCCTATAGGGCATCCCAAGTCTCAAAGAAATACTGCACTCATCCGGATCTACGCCAGAAGCAAAATGACTATTCAAATGAAGGCAGCCCATTTTATTTTGCCAGTGCACAGCAATAGAAATATATTCATGCCATCAACGTGTGTGTTTTTTTTATTTTATACACGGCACACCACAGTGCATAGTATGCAGTCTGTCAGCACCTGCTGTACTGTCAGCAGTCTGTACAGCACCCATTGTAAATAGCACTTAGTGCCATACACTGGCAGTGTGTACAAGTATAAAGGGGGGCCTAAGACCTTTGCCTTTTTAAAAGAGGAAGCTAAATTTGCTGGCTGTAATCTATTTTCAGCGGAACTGCATACAGTGGCCTGGACCATTTACAGTTTCATTTTTGCAAATGCTTCTACAGCCGGAATATTTTATCCCATTTTACAAAAACAAAACAAGTCTGAGATATTGTAAGAGTTACTCCAGTAGAAAATGTGTCATATGATCTTATTTTACCCTCAGGTGGCTGAACACTTTTATGATCAGGGAACAATGAATGGATAGAATGAGGTCTTCCCTTAACTAATTTAAATCATTTCTTAGGTCTTCTGTCTAACAAGTGATGTAGCCAAATCACAAATCAAACTATCTGTCTTTTCAGTCACCTCTACCTGTGATCTTTATACACACAAAATATTTATGTGGAAGTGTTTTAAGCTGATCGTTAACTGCCCAATGGACCAGTTATCACAAAAGTCAATCCATAGACAAGTTTGATACAGTGAAGCTATGAGTAACTTAACTATATATTTGCATTGGTGGGAGGGAACATTTTATTGCATTATGGGTTGAATGTTGTAAGGACTTTAAATGTAAAGGATTTTTTGGTCTTTTTTTCTTTTTTTTTTTTTTTGCTTCACTATT